CGTGGCTCTGGGGAGTCCAGGGCAATGGAAGGAGAGGGCAAAAGACCTCACTGTATCTGGGGGCTGACAGCGAGTGGGGGTGCACCACAGGGCTAGGCTGGAGCATGATGCAGGGGCTTCCTGTACCATCCCCACCAAAGCAGCCAGGAGGGGGCGGCAGGCCTCCAGGACTCACATAACTCCCTGCAGGGCTGCCTAGGGGCTGGTGTCCAGATTCTGAGCATCAGGTGAGACTGGAGGGCAAAGGTCAAGGGCACACTTTGGCAACTGTGTGCTGTCATTGGTGATGGTGCCTGCCAGCAGCCTGAAGAGCTAGGTCCCTTCCCACTGAGGGACTCCACTCAGGTAAAGCCAGGTCCTGATTTTATCACAAAAAACAGAGTTCGGGACCAGACAGAATGAGGCAAACTTAGTGACTTTAGCAGATGCTGAGACAGTCATGAAGAAGAGGACAGTGTACACACAAAATAAGAGGGGCGCTTCTTGAAAAACATTTAATGCATTTGCACACAGGTGTGTGTGTGTGAGAGAGAGAGAGACAGAGACAGAGACAGAGACAGAGAGAGAGACAGAGAGAGAGAGAGTCTGCGTCTGTGTGTATGTGTGGAGCTGAGAAGACAAATTGTGACAGGAAGTTGGTCCTCTCCCTCCACAAGTGAGTCTCAGGGATGGAACTCGGGTCGTAAGGCCTGGCAGCAGCCACTTTCACCCACTGGGCTATTTCAGGGACTCCCATGCCTTGTAGTTCCCAGCATTCTTGTCTGAGACTTCAGGAAGGTGAGCACAAGTTTTGTGGTAATCTGGCCCTATCGTGACTCCCAGCCGGATTCTGCAGGGGTGGGGGGAGGGGGAGGGGGATGCTCTTTCTCTTGCGTATTTCTTCCATGTCCCTCGGCTGTCTACCTTTACTCACAGGCTTCTCACTGGCTCTAGACTGAGGCCTGCTTGGTAACACCCTTTCATCCCCACCACAGCCTTGTGAGATAGAAATGTGAGCAGCCAGCCCTGTCTTACAAGTAGCGCGGCAGTGACCTATACCAGGAACCCGGGAGAGCCCAGCAGCGGGGTGGGGTGGTGTAGGAGAGCCTGGAGGCAACGCCCCGGGGGTGTGGGGCAAGGAAGCTAGGTTCCCTGCTAGAGGAGGGGCCAGTTGCAGATGTGCACGGGTGGGTGGGTTGGGGTGGGGAACCCCCATTGTGACAATGAAGTTCAGCAGCATTGCTTCTGTCCTATAGAAAAAGATGCACGTTCTGGAGACTGAGGCAGCAGAATCGCAGGTTCAAGGCCTGGTTGGGCTACAGAGTAAGGACAAGATTGGCCTTTGTAACTCAGTGAGACCATGTCTCTAAAAGAAAAAAGAAGTTATGCATCAAGCCCTGGGCTCAATCCCCAGCACTGGGGGGCAGGGAGGGTATGATGGGGAAGATGAGGAAAGGGAAAGGTAGAAAAGGGGGTTGAGAAAGGAGAGGATGGTGTTGAAATCATGAAGGGCAGGGATTCAAATGACTAGACAGCTAGCAGAGGGAGGTGACAGCTGAGTGGAGCCCAGATAGCCCTCAATGGTGACACCTCAATGGACCCTCGCAGATTCAAAACATCCTAATTGGAAATGCAGTTGCATCACCTAGCTGACGAAATCTTGGCGATGGCATCTCTGTTACACATCTAACGGAGGCATGGAGGAGGCACTAGGAAGGGCCCCGTGGGACCGTCCAAGAGTGTCCGTTTGAACTGGAATCACGCCACTGTGCTGTGGGTTCCAAGTGCTCTAATGTGGTTATAATCCTGTAAACCTGGCCTTTGGGAAGCTGAAGGAGGAGAATTGCCATGAGTTCCAAGGCCATACTGAGTGCCAGACAAGCCTGGGCTGCACAGCAAGCCCTGCCTTAAAACAAACGAACAAGGGAGCGCGCCTTGTTCCTGAGAGAACTGCAGTATCTGCGAGCGTTGGAGTGACATCAAAGACCCTTTACAGGAGAGCAGCTTCCTTCTGGTCAAGAGAATGCAGCCCACTTCTGGTCTGGACAGAGACCTAGGAGTCTAAGCTACCAAAACCATGAGTTACTCCATTTGGGCCAATCAATCACTTGGCTAAAGGGTTCCCTCTCCCGTCCCTGGGAAGCAGATTTACCTAACACTATGCTGGAGAGAATGGAGGAATAATTGTTCCTTTAGTAAGAAAATGTATTTCCCTTCCCAGAATCCTTGGTTTTGTGTGCTACCTAGGAAGCCACCACGAGGTTCTATGGGGTTGGTTATTTCTTCTTTCTATGCCTTTCAGACACAGACAGCGTGTAATATACTTTCTCTGGTACTTTTCGCTTTTTCACTCTTTCTCTGAAGCCACTTCCCTTTTGCCACGTAGCTGCCTAACTCACAAGTACATGGCTTTTCTCTTCATCTTCCTCCTCCAGGCAGCCACTGAGATTTACAGCTTACCTGCCCTGGGGTTTTACTTTTAAATTCTAATGAAATTCCCCCTCATGATTCCTTTTTAGCATTCTTATATTCTTTTAATGAGCCTCAGAACCCTGAAGGAGGACACCCATTCCCCCAATAACATGTGGCAGCCAACATGGGACTCCCCCAAATTTCTAATCAAAAAGCAAAGGTTGAACATTATCACGCTCGTCTCAAAGGGCTCTGTAATGAGACAACGTCCCTGTGTCTCCATCTAGGGAGCTTTGGGGGTAGGAAAAGCAGGAGAGACTATGGCAGGGTCTGTGGACCAGCAGGAGTGTTTCTGAGGGAAACCAGCAGGGCCAGACAGGGAAGAAGAACTCTAAAGAAAGTTACTTTGATGGTCCCAGTTGACTAGGTAACCTCGCCCATGGTGAGTAGAGCTGAGGGAGTGATGGGGAGAAAACCTATTTGGAAATCTCTGTATCCAGGGACCTGTGATGTGAGCATCTGGTAATGTCACTAAGCCATTCAGTTGGTCTCAGGCTGGGAGGAGGAGGAGGAGGAGGAGGAAGAGAGACCATGACCTTGGTGGCAGGCAGACCTCTTCTTACTGCCCCCTCAGTTCCCGGATGCTCTCTCTTAGTGGCTGCACCTGTCTCCAGAGTGGCAGAGTTTCCCAAAAGCACTCTACCCAGGACCTTGGACCCTGCGGTACAACATTCTCAAAAGTTATCACTGGGGATTGAGGCTGCCCCCTGACACTCTGGGCCCCAGATCCCCTGCATGTGGGTTAGGTAGCTGAACTGCAGCTTTCAACACACAATACTCATGGGGTACCCTGTGTCAACAACCATCATCCTTCCATCCATGGAGGAAATCCTGAATAGCCCATAGTTGCTGAGGCTCCTGGGACACATTGGGAAAGATAGGTAAGGAAATTACACTCAAGGCAAGACATGAGTACACAAATCACTGCCTCCACCAACAGTGGACACTCCTGCAGTGTAGACTGTTCCAGGCCCTCAGTGTTCCACCCATATGTCCACACAGAGCCTGGTGCACAGTAGGTGACTATGAAGGACCTGAGTCCAAGAAGGTAAGGAGTTAGCTATGAGGTCACCAAGGAAAACTGTAGCTGATCTTGGTGGCCATTTCCTGATGACTAAGACGTCCCTTTGGTTGAACATACTGGAAGCTGCAGTGAAGATGGAGGTTTGTGTCCCGCAAGGTCCCACCACCCTTCAGTCCCAAATAAGCACACAGACGCTATATTAATTATAAAACAGCTGGCCGATGGCTAGGGCTTCTTATTGGCTGGCTCTCTCTTAATTATTGACCCATTTCTATTGATCTAAGTATTTCCACGCAGTCTTGCCTTACCAGAGAATGCCCGGATCTGTTACTCCTTTGTCGGCTACATGGCGTCTCTCTGCCCCCTCCCTCTCTCTCCTCACTCCTTCCTCTCCTATCCTTCCTGCCTGGCTGTTGGACAAACAGTGTTTTATTCATCAACCAATAAAAGAAGCATATATACAGCTAGACTGTTGCCACTGTACCAGAAACTGAGGCATAGAGTGGGAGGGCGGAGAGATGGCTCAGTGGTCAACACACTGGTCGTTCTTGCAGAAGTCCTGGGTTTTGTCTCCAGCACCCACATGGTGGTTCACAAACCATATGTGACTCCAGTTCCAAGGAGTCCAACACCCTCTTCTGGCCTCCAAGGATCCTAGACAAGCACAGGTTGTACAGGCATGCATGCAGAAGAGACACCCGGGTGTGCAGGGTAACTTTTAAAAGAAAAGGAACTGGGGCACGAGGCATTGCCCCACACCTGTGCCTTAGTGAGGGACCGCTGACCTCATTTTTTTGTTTGTTTGTTTGTTTTGTTTTGTTTTTTTGAGACAGGGTTTCTCTATATAACAACCCCGACTGTTCTGGAACTCACTTTGTAGACCAGGCTGGCCTTAAACTCACAGAGATCCCCAAGTGCTGGGACTAAAGGCATGCACCCACCATGCCCAGCCCTTGACTTCATTCTAATGTCTTCATGTGGTTGTGAACTCCTCATCAGACATTTTACAGAGGATTGTGCGAATAAAGACCCTAAAAAGCAACCAAGTCCACCATGATGTGAAAGAAAAAAAAAAGATCACCATACCCAGTGAATATACTATCCACCTTATGAAAACCCACCTGCCATCTGTCACCTCCAAATGCCCTACCTGAACCCTGATCTCACCTACAGCAATACCAACCTCACTGGAGTCCCTTGTGCCAGGATGGAAGTCCTTGCCACCAACCCTCGCCACACTCACTCAGGCATCTCCCCGTCCCCTTCCTCCAGCTCCTGACTACTTCCTCCTTGTGTACCCAGCCTGTCACCTCTCACCCAGCAGCTTCAGCCACCTCCAGCTGTCTTTGGGACACCCCATTCCCGCTTTCATCAAGATGGCTCTAGTCCCAGTAACACAAACTTCCCCACCTCCTAACATTGCCACACTGCAGAGGGAAAACCTGAATGCCCAGCCCTCTTCAAAGGCCAACGGTCACCCATCAGTAGTTCTGTGCCCTTCACCTACCCACCTACCTTCCTATCTACCTACATCACTGACACACAGCAACAGGCCTTCCAAACAGAAGCAGAGGTGCAAAGCAACAAACAGCTCAACCCACCTCAGGGAATGAACCAGCAAATCCAAACAGGACCAACTGTGGTCCTGACGTACCGTCAGACAGTGGCAGCTGGAGAGGATCCCTGTACAAACCAGATGGGTTGGTAGGCACCCCGGAGTTCTACACCGGTAGGTCCGGGATTTGCTGTTTGTTTTGGTTTGGTCTTTTGTTTGGTTGGTTTGGTTTTTTGGTCTCACTATGAAGCTCTGGCTGGTGTGGAACTCTTGGTAATCCTCCTGCTTCAACCTCCTGAGTGCTGGGATTACAGGTATGTGCTACGGTTTCCAGATGAGTCCTTGGTTTCCATAAACAGGGTATTCAGGATATAAACTGGGAGAGAGTCTTGTACTTCTGGGGGCCGGGATAGTCCTTCCCTTCCATGTCCCTTACATTAGCATGAGTCCTTCAAGAGTCTACCCATCCCCCAGGTCCCTGAGATTTCTCAAGGCCTAGCTTTGCAGACTGCCCCCAGCCAGCATGCTCTACACACCGTGAAGCCGGGTGCCCTCAGCTCTGTGTCTGTGACAAAGCTGTTTGGGTACATTCCAACACCAATTCTTTCTAGGTGGTGACCTGGGGACTTCACTGATCCGTGACTAGGTTTACTCTTGCAGTGGGGGTAACAGGCTGCCTCCTTCATAGGCAGATGTTGAAGACAAGTGAATTCATACAGCCCAGATGCTGGAACAGCCCTGCCTGCACAGGTGACCCTGCATTCAAGAAGCTCGACCCAGTTGTTCTGATGACATGAACAGTTCGCCAGAAGGGTAAGGTGTGCACCTGCAGGAAGTGAGGCTGTGTGAGTGGGGATGTGCTTGCCGTTTTCAGGAGAGGACAGAGGGTCTGCTTCCCCAAATGCTCTTATTGTTCCCCTGACCCAAGATCAGCACATATGAGCCATGTGGGATAGGTCAGCCCGGCTTTCTTTGCACAGTGTGGCTGTTTGTGAGGCTTAGTGGCTCCTGCATCTGGTGCCATGCCCTTCTATTGGGAACTGGTCAGCATTGACTCACCTGGGTAGCCTGCCCCCTGAGCTGCAGGTGACAGCTGGAAATTTTAGCTTTAGGGACTAGCCCAGCATCACCATAGGTATGTCTGTGCCTGGATTCTGGACCCCAGAGAGCAGCCACTAAGGACTTGGCTTATCAATCTCTCTCAGTGATTCTGAGAGAGCAATTTCTCAGAACTGTGGCTCAGGAATGTCCTTTTCCTTGTGGAACAGGTGTGACCATGACAACGAACCTCCCGGTGTGCATTCAGCCAGGAACAGCTTCCCATGGAGACCCATCACTTGCATCTTGGCCTGCAGCCGGCAGGGCCTCTCAAGTCTGTCTGAGGTACAGCTAAGGATGTCTAATGCCACCTCCGCACAGAAGCCCCACCTTCAGGATAGCCACAGTGAGGGCCTTCATGTCCTTCTTTACGGACGCTTAGCTTCTGTTGATATGACCAGAGTCTCATCAGTCAGCAAGCTTGACTGAGCTGATGTCTCACCAGGGTGTCTGACCACCTGACACTTCAGCCTCTCCCACACCAGACCCTGTCTTTGACCTGGGTGGCCTTTTCTTCTTTTAGAAAAGTCAGATTAGCTGGGCAGTGGTGGCACATGCCGTTAATCCCAGCATTAGGGAGGCAGAGGCGGGCAGATCTCAGAGTTAGAAGCCAGCTTGAGCTACAGAGCGAGTTCCAGGACAGCCAGGGCTACACAGAGAAACCCTGTCTCAAACAAGCAAAGCCAAACTTACTGAACTGGAGACTAAGCCAGTCCCACAGAAATAGAACTCAGGGCTTGGTCCTGGGTTGAGTTCAGTGGTAGGCTGTTTTACATAAACAGAAGATTTAGAAACTATAAGGAGAAAAATATTTTGTTGCTTATATTGATTTCAAGTTGAAATGAGAACTTTTTAATATACTGAATTGTTTGAAATAATGCATTTTAATCTCATTGAATACAAGTGTGACGGTGCACCCGTATAGTCCCGGTACTCAAGAAGCGGAAGCAAGAAGATGGCTTTTATACATGTGAGCCCTGAGTTCATCCCCAGCATGTACCCCATCCACCCCCAAAGTCCATAGGGAGAATTCGAACCTCATATGTTATTTTAAATTACCCAGCCATATTAAAAGCTAAAGGAAATTTAAAAAATAGAAAGCTAGCTGGGCAGCAGAGTCACACCTTTAATCCCAGCACTCGGGAGGCAGAGGCAGGTGGAGCTCTGTGAGTTCAAGGCCAGCCTGGTCTACATAGTGAATTCCAGGACAGCCAGGACTACACAGAGAAACATTGTCTACAAAAGCCAAAACCCAAAAGCAAAAAGGAAGAGGAGGAGGACAAGGAGGAGGAGGAGGAGGAGGAGGAGGAGGAGGAGGAGGAGGAGAAGGAGAAGAAGAAGAAGGATTTAAAAAGGAAGAAGTTAGATTACTTTCAGCAACAATACATTTTATTTATTGATATAAATCATTTTCTCCACTTCTAAACCTTATGTTTGTACAAAACATCCTGATTCAGACACTCCATTTTCAACAGCTAAAGGAAATTGTCATCCTGATGAAGACATAGAGATGTCTCAGTGGGTAATGCATTCACTGTTCAAGTGTCAAGACTGGAGTTTGGACCCCAGCACCCCCACAAAAAAAGCTACTGAGCTGGGGAGGAGGAGGCAGGGCATTCCTGGGGCAAGTTGGCTAACAGACTAGCTGAATTGGCAAGCTCTGAGTGAGTGAGACCCTACCTCAATACATAAGCTAGGGGCCGGAGGAAGAAGACACAGCTAGTGTCAACCTCTGGCCTCCATGTGTGACATACACAGTCACACATGTGGGAACACACCTATGCATACACACACACACACACACACATGCACATACACACACACACACACACACACACTCCCCTCTCTCCAGCTAAGTAGCTCTATTTCCTATGCCTCTGTCCTCTAGACCCCCCTTTTCTCCCTTATTGGTCTCAGTGCCCCCCCACTCTTTCTGTGGGCAAAGCATGGGTCCTGGCCCCTCATTCAGCTAAGCAGGACTGGGATCCACTTTACAGAAAACATCTCCATGTGTCATTAACCAAACCTAACCTCACATTCCTAGCCCACCAGCTGCTCTGGGCAGACTCTGGCATTATTGAGCACCAAGGGTCACAATCCCCTACTCCCGTAAACAGGGACTAGAGGGACCTCCTACATTGCATTCCCATGACTTTAGAAAGGATGGCTCTGTGGGAAACGTCTCTTGCTACCAAGCCTGATGACCTAAGCTCTGTCCCCAAAACCCATATTATAGAAGGAGAGAATCAACCCTACACTTTGTCCTCTGACCCCCACATGAGTATACATACACACATGCACATGCATACACACAAACAAAAACCGGGCCTCGTACTCACAGAGATCCACCTGCCTCTGCCTCCAGAGTGCTGGGATTAAATGCGTACGCCACCACCCGCCCCCAGCTCTTCTCAGTTCTTAAGGGAATTGTGGGTAAATAGAACTCAGTCCAATGAACCTGGGAGAAAGATGTCTACAATGACTACTTTGATGATTGTGTATGGCCAGCCAGGGATGTCAGCTGTCCCCAGGGGAGGGAAGGTGTGAAGGCCGAGGGGGCTGAAGGCCCCCACTTTAACTCAGTTCTTTAGGAGTTCCTGGGAATGTGGGCATGTGGTGCCACTCTTGGGGGGCAGGGACAAGCATCCATAACTCAGGAGAAATGGAGGGGCGGTATGTATGCGCTACCTTCCAGGGTTGCAGGTGAAGTGAGACCATGCACGGACTGCAGAGGTGATCGGGATGGGGACGGGGACAGCTGCAGCAGGACATCTGGGAGAGCTGCCAGCAGAAAGGCAGAGGGTGCATTGCCACCTCCATGGGTGAGCACAGGGATACCAGGTGCCAGAGATAGGAGCTGGCATCAGCTTACTAAAATGAGGACATAGAGTGCCCTTTTGGCAGAGTCGGGATGCCCTAGAGGGCCAGGTCAGCCTTGAGTTGGCAGATAGGGTACTGAGCCAAAGATATTGCTCGGCTGAGGTCAGCTGAGGATGGCATGGGAGATTATCCTTCTCACTCCCACTGACCAATCCCAAGGAAGACAAGGAACCCCTCTGTGCCCACTGCACAGGTGTGCCCTGAAGCTCCAAGGTGCACAGCCCTGAGTCCACCACAGAAGCAAGTATTGGGCAGGTGAGGGGTCTATGGCATTGGAGATGCAAGCATCAGACATTGTAACGTCCAAATGGCTCCCGTGAGCAAAACAGATGGATATGACCTGTGCTCATCAGCAGTCCACACTCTCAGAAGGTCAGGCCCTGTGACTGTTGGCCTAGCTCCAAGAGCCTGAGTCATACCTCATATCCATTCCAGGACTTAGGCACCCACCCTACCCATATCTGAGTATAGAGTGTCTCCTGTCACCTTGAACTTAGGCCAGGAGTGCAAGCTGCCAGCTCCAGACATTGCCAGCCCTGGGTTCATCCAATGCCAGGGTAAAGGCTGGTAGGCCGTCATGCCATCATGCCACCATGCCCAGAACAGCTGACTCTTTGGATCACGCTTGCCTTGGGAGGCTCAGAACTCAGCTTGCCCTGTCTTTCCTTTTCAAGGGCTCCTACCTTACTCCCACAGTCGGCTGGACTCTGCTGGTCACTTGGAAGAACTTGAACCCACACAAGGAACCCTGACAAAGACTATACTCCGTCCTCTATATGGAAGGAAGACAAACTTCTTTTTTTTTCCTGAAACAGAGTTTCTCTGTGTAACAGCTCTGGCTGTCCTGGAATTCACTTTGTAGACCAGGCTGGCCTCAAACTCACAGAGATCCACCTGCTTCTGCCTCCCAAGTGCTGGGATTAAAGGCGTGTGCTGCCACCACCTATCAGAAGACAAACTTCTTTTCCCCAGAGATGGAGTGGGTGCTGAGCCCTCTGCAGACCCGTTGTTGTTCAGAGCTGGGCAACCAGGCTTTGTGCCCCTGTGGGATAAAGGGGTACCCAGAATACCTGGACTGCCAAGGGACAGAGTGCCTATGGGGTAGGAGGTGCCAGGCTCACAATGGCCAGGGGGACAAGCCACAGCATGGACAGGTGATCCAGAGAGCAAGCAAAGATGACCCTAGAGAACAGAAAAGAGCTGGGACTGAGGATGATGGCCTCCTCACCTCCAACCTGGCAAGGATTTGTTACTGCCAATCCAGATATCTGAGAGAAGGACTCTCTCTCTCTCTCTCTCTCTCTCTCTCTCTCTCTCTCTCTCTCTCTCTCTCTCTTTCTCTCTCTCTGTCTGCCTCTATGTCTCTTGGATGCGTGTGGTGCGTGCGTGCGTGCGTGCGTGCGTGTGTGTGTGTGTGTGTGTGTGTGTGTGTGTGTGTGTGTGTGTGTGTAAGACTAATCTCATGGTTCCCAAACTGACCTCAAACACCCTCAAGGCTGGTCTCATACTTCTAGTGCTGCCTTCACTTCCCAAGTGCTGGGGTTATATGTGTGGGCCCCCATGCCCACTTTCCCTTCTCAGTCTAGACTCCATCTCCCCACTCAGGTGTCCACCCCATAAACTATGTCTACACCCTTCTCTGGCACACCAACAAACAACATCCACATCTTCCAATTTTCTCCTCCCAAGAGCCTTTCTATTGTTACAAAACATCCAGGAAGATACACTATAGTTTTAAATATGGTGACTTCTCTGACTCCAAGTTCACACAGAGGCAGGTGCCAAACTGAGCCTGGCTTCTGACTCCAGCATGACCTTCAGCAAGCTGGGTCCCTGTCCCTGGGCTCAGTGCAAGCACTTAGGGGGCCAGTGCCCCGTGGCTCCTGCCTCTCTGGTTACAGAGATACTCCGTGTAAGGGCTATTTCTAGAGGCAGTGCCCAGCCAGGAATTCTGAGCCAGTGGCCTGGCACTGCCCATTGCTCTTCATTTGAGGTAGCTCTTTGTGACCTGTGTGGAGTGACCTGGTGCCTCGCATCTGGCCTGCTCTCTGGGTCAGCTTGAACTCTGTCCTGCCAGAAATCAAGACTGTTCCTCCTTCACCTACCTGTGGATAGTCCCAGCTCCCCATTCAATTGCAGTGATTTGCAAGGATCCCCCAGCCCTATTCAGTGTTCATCTGGTTCCCATCCCCATTCCTTAACTGGGAACCATGCTGTTAGTGCTGGTTTAGCTTCTAGTTCCTTCTCCTGAAGCCCTCCACAGTGTGTCTTTAGAGGAAGCCAGTTTCCTTTGTCACTAGTGATCCCAAATCACTTTCCAATGACACATGATTGACAGAGCTGGGGACCTATGAGTAGCTCAGTGGGAAGAGTACTTGCCAAGCGTGCATGGAGCCCTGGGTTCAATCCCCAGCACCCAATAAACCTGGTACGGTCACTAGCAACTGTAGTGACAGCACTCTGGAGGGGGAGGCAAGGGAATTAGAGGGTCAAAGTCATTTTCAGCTACATAGTGGATTCAGAGCCAGCCTGGGCTAGATGAGATCCCCTCTAAAGATTATTAAATAATTGTGCCTCTGGATGGGGGTCCACAATGCAGAGTTGTTAATGCTAGTTCATCCCAGCACACTCTATTCCTGTTTTAGAGCTGGATGTGGTAGTATAGGCCTGTGATCCAAGACAGAATACCTAAAGTTTGGAGCCAGTCTGAACCACACAGCAAGACACTGACTCAAAAGCAAACAAATGAAAAAACATTATTGTTCCAAGATGACATGATGGCGCACATCTGTAACCCCGGCCACAAGGGAGGGTGATGCAGGAGGACCACTTGGGTCCAGGAGTTGGAGGTCAGCCTGGGCAACTGGTGAGATATTGGCTCCTAAAAAAGAACAAAAGGGCTGGGTGTGGTGACCCATGTCTGTGATCCCAGATTTAGGAGGCTGAGGCAGGAGGATTGCCATGAGTGTGAGACCAATCTGTGCTACATAACCGGATCCTATCTCAAACAAAATGAAACAATAAGAAAGGAAGGAAGGAGGGGAAAGAAAATGAAGAGAGGCTGGAAATGGCTCAGTAGTTAAAAGCACTGACTGCTCTTCCAGAGGAACTGGGGTTAATTCCCAGCACCCACATGGCAGCTCACAATTGTCTGTAACTCCAGTTTCAGGGGACTCAATGCTCTTTTCTGGCCTCCAAGGGCACTGCATGCACATGGGCACAGACACATACACACACACACACACACACACACACACACACACACGAGAATAACTAAAAGGACAGAGGGAATGAAGGAAGGAGGAAAGAGATAATGAAGTTCTGGATTCTGACAGAGCAGGACGCTCGGATGTCGCTATCCCCTTCCTGCTGAGCTCCACACAGCAAAGCTCAGGTATCCAGCCCCTGCACTAGAAACGCAGACATTCTGAGCATCACTTGCCAAGCGTGGTCTCACTTTACACATTCAGAAACGGAGTCCAACAAGAGCACCTATCTGCCCAGATCACAGCAAGCATGCCATGGAAACAGCCCCATCTGGGCCTGTTTGGTCCTTTGACTCAGTTAGGGAAGGGCAGAAGAAAAGACGTATGGACCATTCCATGCTACCCCAATCCTCTTTGGGCCAGAAAAAGTGGATGGCAGGATACTCAACTAGGCACAGTGGCCCATACCTATAATCCTAGCACTTGGAGGCAGAAACGGGAGAATTAAAAGTATATACACGCACTCATGCACAATGTAGAGCATAACTCCAACATCAGTTGTGCCAAAGGTAGCATCATCCCTTGATGATCCCAGGGCTCAGTGCCACCTAGCACCAGCCTGACGTCCTCTGTTAGAAAAACCAGTGTGTGACTCGGAGAAGCCATGACTGGCTCTGGAAAACCAACTACTGGGGCCCCGCCCTCACTGGGGCCCCGCCCTCCCATTCAGAGAAATTGGCCCAACCAAGGCCTTTCTCTTCTATGTCTCTTTATGCCTGATAAAAACATGTGGCCCTACCTCCTTCTCCATCCCTGTGGGACTCCTCACCACAGCCATCAGCAGCCCTCACCTTATCCTTAGCCTGCCTCAACTCCACTGTCTGAAGACACTTGGTCTCCTGGTGGCTGTGCCCCTTGCTCCCCTCCTCCTTCAAGCTGCTGCCTCTCCTCCTCCTTCATCCCCACTGCTGTGAGTCACTCTTTACACCACCATATACACTTGTACACACACAAAACTGGCCATTCCTTTCCTTTTTTTTTTCTCTTTTTAATCAAGATTTATTTAATTTTATGCTATGTGTTTATCTGTGCACCATAAAGGTGCAGTACCTGAGGAGTCCAGAAGAGGGCATCAGATCTCCTGGAACTGAGGTTAGAAATGGTTTTGAGCTAGGAATGGAACGTAGGGCCTTTGGAAAAACAAATGTCCTTAACTGTGGAGCCATCTCCTCAACCCCAAATTGTTCCTTTATTAAACTGCCTTGGTCAGGTATTTAGTTACATGAACAAGGCAAATAACTGAAGTAAACTAGAAGTGATAGCACATATCTGATCAAACCCCAAGTCTCCAACTAAATAAGCATGGATGATACCCAGATTTCACCAACTGCAATGTGTGTCAGAGTTGCAGGAGGCTATGGCTTTGGCCTGAGCCCCTGCACCAGGCACAGGAGAGGTCAAAGACACCTGTCTGTTCTGGCAAAGGGTTAAACAAGACAAAACTTCCTTTAAAAAATTGCAAAGAAGCCTCTGGCAGGAAGTCCAATTCCTCCAGGGTCAGCACTTCTTGAGGCCAAAATACGCTGTCTGAATTCTGCTCATCCACTGAGCTACTTTAAGTCAGCCAATCACAAAACAATGTAGGATGAACCAAGGTGGTTCAGAAGGAGGCACAGGACCCCTCTGTGCTAGGAATAAAGCTGGACACACAGGCTTACCCATATCCAAAGGAAGAACCTACCACCGGTTCACTATAATGCAGACACTTACATATACCACCAAGCCCTCTTGCCTTTTTACAATCCCTTTTCCTATGAGGAAGGGAGGAGAATAGAGGACTGTTAGCATTTCCAGCATCACCTAGCCAGCCCACAGGGTCCTATGGCCTCACATGTGTTGTCAGTGTTCAGGCAAAAGTCAGCCCAGAGTCCTATGTAAAATGCCCACGTACTGCATGGCTGCATACGTCTCTGTACACATGCACTAAACCCTTTAAAAATGGGGCTTTGCCCATTCCTCTCTCTCTCCGCCGCTTCCCTTTCTGAGGCAGCTAAACTTCCAACGTGGGTCTGTGGTATGCTGTGGTTCGTTCTCACTGCTGCTAAACTACAACAGGGACATAGAGAATTGTGTGGAAAACGGGGAATGATCTCTAGAAGGACGCAGAGCATGTACACACCCAGTGACCTGGGACAAAGGCTGTTGGTCCAAAGAACGAACAGTGGCTTTGTGGTTCCCTCTCCTCTTGTGTGACGTCTCCATGTGAAGATGGGATGTGGCTGTGTTCTTTGTTTTGGGGGGAGAGGGGCAGCAGTCTCAGATGAATGGGGGAACTCTGCAGGAAGCTGCCGCCCATATACTGACCAAGACCAAGGGGCCTTGTGGGAATGTGGATGAGAAATGGCCTCCCACAGTCTCAAGCATTTGAATCCTTGGTTCCTGGCTGGTGGCACTGCTCAGGGAGGCTTAGAAGGTGTGGCCTTCCTGGAGGAAGTATGTCACTCGGGGTGGACTTTGAGCGCTTAAGATCTCACTCTACTTACAGTTCACTCTCTCTGCTTCTCGATTTTGTTTGGTTAAAGATGTG